GGATTGCACATCCTTTCAGTGGTTTTTAAAAAGGAAGCTCTCTTGGTATCAAACCTTTTCTCTAGTTCCACTGAAACATGTTCCTACTCATCATCAGAGCTAGTTTTGTTCTCCCCTCCTCAAGCCCCACATCTTCACCAGTGCACCTTAGCCCTGACACTGAGCCAACCTCTGGAGGGAGACCTTTTTCCCGTAAGAAAGGAGACCGGGCGTGATTCCAAAGGATGTAGGGACTGGTTACAGCAAGGCTGGTCTGAACACACCATTCAGACACATGTAAATACTGGTGTACCTATTGTTCTCATGGATAGGATTGAGGTGATTCGCTAGAGAGCTGCTTCAGAGAAAAAAAACAACAAAACAAAAACACTAACAAAAAAGCCCAAACAATAAACCCAGTACCTCAAAAATATAAACTAGGGCTTTATGGCTGCCAGATGCTGGTAGTCAGTTCATAAGCAATGTGAACAAGCAATGACTAGCCACATTTGATTTTAATTCTTTTTTTTTTAAAGCTGTGTTTTTTTTAAACACGCACAATGTTTCAGTTGGCTCAGCAGCAGTTCTTAAAAAGAAGATGACTAAACCATATCTGTGAGTCTTTCACCCAGTCTTCTGAAATATAAGCAGTACTTGTATTTTTTTATATTAAGCTGGCTTCTGGGAGAGGGGTAGCTGCTTTAGTTTCTGAGCTGTAATGGAGTCATGAATACTTGGGGTTATGTGCAAGAGAAGTGGCTGGTACAGCACCACACCATCCTTATCTTGCCCATTGACAATTCAATAGACTTTTTGGTTTTTGGGGTTTTTTTAACTACCAAGGAGTTGGGATGGGCTTTGGTCCTTAACTGAGCAGTACCATTAAGGAACTGCTCTTCATCTGTGGTTCCAGTGATGTGTGGGGTGGGGGCAGTTCAGGTGCTTGTGGTTTTTTTCTCCATCCCAACATCCTCACCCAAACTGTAGGGACTCAAAGGTAGAAGCTTCTCGTGGTTTGCTGCCCTTGTCTGAGAAAAAAAAGGTGTCTCTAAGGAAAACAGAAGTGGACCTCCACCCTTCCATCTTACAGTGTGGTGTGAAGAAAGGGGGTTTGTGATGACAGGTTTGTTGCTCACCTCCTGCACTTGCAGCTCCAAAGGACCCTGATCCTGGCCCACGGTCTCTGTCCCAGCGCAGGGCCTCAGTTTCCTAGCATAGCGGTGTGTGATTTGGCTGCAGACACTTCAAGCTGTGCTGCTGCTGGCTGGTACTGCATCCTTACCTTCAACACCCCAGGGAACACACCAGCTCCCAGAGATGTCACTTCTCTGCTGCCTGTTTCATGGGCAATCAGGTACAGCCCTTCTCATCTTGGGTTTGACAGTGAAGCAGCTGCTGCTCCCTCCAGGTCACCATGCAGGCTGTGCCTCAACTGCCACTTTGCAAGTTGGTTTACATGCAGGTGTTGCTGCCAAAGGGGTGCAGTCAGCAAGGGCACCAGAGGCACAGCCTGCAGCTTCACCCTTCCTGCTCTGATGGGCGTGTACACACGTTCTCTTGGTATTCCCCAAGACCCCCTCAGACCAGGCAGATCAGGGGGAGAAACTATATTATTTTGTCCCATTTCAGTGGAGGCAGCTGAAAATTGTGAATCGCATGTAACAAATACCCCTGGCCAACAGCTTTAAAAAAAAAAAAAGTATCAGCAGCAAACTGAAGCCCTAATTCAAGTCAGCAGCTTGGGTTGTTTTGGTTTTGTTTTGTTTTTTTTTTTTAACTGTAAGTTTAACTAGTGTGTGACTCAAATCTCAGGTTTTACTATATTGAAAAGTGGAGAAGATTTTGTCATTGTTTTGTTTTGTGGCTAGGATGTGACTTTGATTTCCTACAGTAGACTGTTGAAAATAGCACTGAAAGCTACAGCGTTGATTAACTTGATTCTAAAATGTGCAAAAGGCAGAGGGAGGCAGCACCAGGAGTAACTGAACCCAGAGGCTGTGTTTGTGTCATGTGTAAGAGATTTTGGAAGAAGGGGTAGTCTAGGTAAGGGACAGGCTGACAGCACACAGGAAAGCATGTCAGGTCTAGGCTAGCCATTAAACATTCTGCCACTTCTGTCTGTTTGCATATCAAGTGAAAGCAATTAGATTACAATTGTTTTCAGCATATGCACACACTCTGGGTGTATCTATGTGAACGGTTTAGCAGTGCTCCTTTCAGCCTGATTTCAGTAAAAGCCTGTGTCTGTGACTTAAATCAGTTAATTGGGGTTAACACAAATCAATCCCTAAAGGCAGACACAGAATCTTCCTGTCTTTTGTGCTCCTTCACAGGTGGGTGTTCTCCCCTTCCTGCTATACATACAAATATGTACATTAGAGTTTTGTTGGGTAATTGCTTTCAGAGGAACTGACACCTGGTCTTCTGGCTCCTCATGATTTCCAATACGCCATAGTCAGTGAATCAATCAAAGCTGTAGGCTTAGTATTTTTTAGGGGACAGGTTCCTGTAGGAGGAAGCCTTAACTCCATGTCCTTCACAGGGTGGTGCCTGTCTCCTATCTGAACTAGTGTCCCATACCTGAACAATGCTGGAAATGATGTGTAGAAGTGTGGAAAGCAAAGTGGAGGATGCGAGGGGGAAAATGTGTACATGTTCCATATGAATATAATGTTCTTTGGTGTATGGCAAGCTGTTTAAATGGTTCAGAGAGATGTGAGTTTCTCATCTTGTTGTGTCATGAGCATTACCTGTATGTTATGATGAAATAAAATCAGAAATGGTACCTGTTTATATAGAAAGGCTGAGGAAGGAGCCTGTGTGCCTCTGGCTGCAGAGTGTGTGTTACCTGCCTGCAGTGTGACCTGTTCCCCAGCACTAGCAGGGGGCTCATCCTTATCCTATAGATCCTTCACAGACACGTGCCTGTTAATGCCATGTACAGCACTGGTAATGGTTTCAGCCTCTTACCTGTTCTGTTCACCCTCCTCTTCTGCTCCCTTGAACAGCAGCTGTGGCGCTTCTCTGCATTAACATCTTGCAGTGGCCAATACTGTGGTGAGTAAACTGTTCCCAAGGAGCTCTGCCAGACTTGCTGAAGGAAGTGTTTCAAATTGAGTAAGCTACCTAGGCTGACCTCCAAATAAGAAGTATGGGAAGACAAGAAAAAATATGAAGAATTTAATTGTTTAAATCGTAGAATGGTTTCATTTGGAAGGGGCCTTCAAAGGCCATCTAGTCCAACTCCCTGCAGTGAGCAGGGACATCTTCAACTAGATGAGGTTGTGGAAGCCCAGTCCAACCTGACCTTGGATGCTTCCAGGGATGGAGCATCTACAGCCTTTCTGGGCAGCCTCTGCCAGCATTCTGTTACCCTCATTGTAAAAACGTCTTCCTTTTATCCACTCTAAATCTGCCCTCTTTTAGTTTAAAAGCATTGCCTCTTGTCCTGTCACTACAAGCCTATGTGTAAAGTCTCAATGGTAAGAGCCAGTTGACTTTGATTACACCAGACCAATCGCATGTTGCATTCAAACATACTTGGTTTGCCTGATTCTGCCAGTCCTGAAGCATTCAGAGTGACTTCTGATTGCTGAGGGAGGGGTGTGCCCCTCATTGCTCCTTTAGAGAACAGCTTATACAAACGTAGTGTATATTAAAATTAAATCCAGCAGTAGAACATGGCTGCTAAGGTTTTGCCATCCTGCCTCAGACCTATATGCTTGTGTACTGGCATCTTCAAACTTAGGTCCAGTAATAGAAGCAATTTTAAAAAAGGTAATTTTAACCCATAATCCCAGAAGGGGAAGTGCAGCATCTTGGGCCTCTCTGAGGAGACTGTCCCATCAGCCCCAGTACAGGTGGCTGCTGTGTATGGGCTTCTGCATTTTCTGCTACAAACAAGATGCTTGCCTCCATCACACTGTGAAATGAGACCCCTGCACAGATCTAACTCGCATCAGCTTGACAGGATCACTTGACATGTCATCTTTGAAGATGCACCTGCTATAGCTTCACTCACCATACTCCAAAGTCCACTTCTGATGAGCTCTTGTATGAACTGATGGTTCCTTTCATGTCTGCTTTTTGAAGCGTGCGCTTGAGCTTTCACCACTCCTCCTCTTGTCTGCTTTGCAGGACTTGCTCTGCTTTATTTCTCCATCTTTCCACCCTTGCCCCTTTGCCTGCAGCCTCTGTGAAGAAAGAGTCTTAACTCCATCTCCAGTCAAAACCTGAGAGGCATCTGAAAGGTGTCTCATGTGTCATCAACATTTCATTTTCATTTCATTGACTGGCGTTACTGGGAAAGGGGTCCCTGAAGTCCCTACACTCTTGATGGAACCATCACCCTTCTATTCCTAGAGTGGACTGAAAACAGGGCAAACCTGCCCCCAGGATGGATGAGCTTGCCCTGTTTCTGAGGGGGTGGGAGGTGGGAGGGTGGGTAAGGAAGAGAACAAAAATGGGGCAATTACATGAGCTGCTGTTTTAACATCAGCTTGCTGCTCATTATGCTTTGACTCAGCACAAGTTTTAAATTGATTTCTATGAGGAAGTGGCGGTTTCAGACACCCAGAACAGTGGCCTGGCAGTCCTCCTAGGAACAGCACTAGAGTTCTAATAAGGCTGTTGCTGCCCCTTTTAAAATCTGAAATCACTGATGTTCAGGCCAACTTGCCAACCTAGACATTTTATTTAGATAGCCATACCCTGACTAAACATCTAGCTAACCTGTAT